CTTAGACTTAAATAAACTTTTAAAATCTCCTAAAATATTGAAACGTAGGGTTTCTGTGTTTGGCCAGACAGTATCACTTATATTGTGACTAGGCAGTGGTTCACAAAAACTTCAGGTGCTTTGATGTAATTATATTTGAAGATCCTAGTTGCTTTAGGGACTTGAGAAGACAAGTCAAGGGAGTGAGAGCCTTAGGCTTAGACTGAGGGGTTCCCATAGTGACAGATTAAATAGACGGCAATAAGAAAATGGATGAGAAGCTAATAGGTAGAAGGAGATGATGAGGATTCTCTCACCCCGAGAGGTGGAATTGGGTACGCCAGTGAGGATACCCGGGAGAAAGGTGACAGAAACAAAGAAGAGAGAGCAGGAGGAAGAAGGAGAAGGGGACACATGAACTGTTGTTTGTGTCAAACAGGTACACGCGGAACCAATGTGCAGAAAGGTGTCCCCTTCTGTCGGAGGCCCAAGGAGTGGTCCCAGTCTACTGGAGGTAGCATCCTATAAACACCAGGAAGATGTGTTCACCAGAGAGAGGACAGAGCAGGTTCCTGTCCTGGAAAGACGGGGTGTGTTCCTTCCCCAGAACCAGTGTCCTGTGACCTGTAGAAGGAATGAGTTTTTCAGCACACTGGTGTGTCTTTCGGACTCAGTTTGAAAAACTCAAACAAGTGAGTGTGGCATGACCAGGCGGTAGAGGAAGACAGAGCACAAGGAAAGGGATGGGAAGAGAGATGTGGAGAGTAAGAAAGAAGAGGAATGGGGGGGAGAGGGAGAGAGAGAGGGAGAGAGAGAGAGAGAGAGAGATTTTGAGAGCAACAGGTGGGGAATGAGGAAAGATGGAGAGAGAGGTACTTAAAATTAATTTATGTATTTTAGTACGAGGAACAATGTTGTAAATAAGGATTAAAGAGAGACTATTTTGACCTGAAAAAATATTTTTGTGTTAACATTTTTAGTTTGTATGAAACGGGAGTTGGAATAGGAGCTTGCTCCGTCCACTCCACACATCTACCTGGTATCGCAGTACTTCCAGGAACGGCGCACCCCCTCCGGGATCTGCAGCTCACAGACTACGTAATCGATTAGCATTAAGAATGAGAAATTAGCTAGGCGTGGTGGTGCTTGCCTTTAATCCCAGCACTAGGGAGGCAGAAGCAGGCAGATCTTTGTGAGTTTGAGACCAGCCTGGTCTACATAGTGAGTTCCAGGACAGCTGGGGCTACAAGGAGACCCTGTCTCAAAAAGACCAAAAAAAAAAAAAGAAGAAGAAAAAAAAAAAGCCAATATGCTACCAAGTAAATTAATTTTTAAGAAACATAAATTTATGTTGACTGTGAATACATATCTAATTATATACAAGATAGATTTTAATAACTAAGATGTTGTAAATTATTTTTGAGAATGTGGTTTATTATTTTTAAACTAAAACATCTTTGAAGTAAACAAGTCAAATGAATGCACTTTAAAACATCTTGAAAGTAAAACTAAAAAAGGTATTTAACAAATAAGATTTTATATAACCAGTTTAGATGTTGCTTTGTGTAGGTAATCAGCATTTGAAAGTTTTGTGAACCATTTAATAAACTTGGAGACACTGTTTAATAGATTTTTAAAATAATTAGGGTATCCATTTATAAGGCCTTTGAATGTATCATCAAAATATCTATAAATTTGTACACGTGTATTTTGATTACGCATGCCCGTTCTCCCGCCTGTTTCGCCGAAATGCAACTTTAAGTCTCGATTTCCTCCAGCGATTCTGGACTCTTCACCTGGGGCTTTCGCTACATGGTGTCAGTTTGTAAAACAAGAAAACACTGCAGAAAACAACTTCAGACTCCAGGAAAACTCTCCACAGCAACATCAACCAACAGCCTGGAGGCCCTGGGGACCGGGTGCCTTCTGGGAAATGTAGTACAGTGCCTCCCCCGCGATGATCAAGATGGCGCCGGGCTCTCTGGGGACCAGGGCATCTCTTACTAACTCGGATTCTTTTCCTATGGAGTTGAGCCGCGTTTATTATACCCCTCAGCACACCACTTACCCCTCTCACAGGGTGTGCCCTCTTACTGCTGTACCGCAAGAGAGACAGTCCCACAAGTGTCGCGGGCTGGGACCAGTTCGCGAAAGGGTATCTGGGAAATGTAGTCCACAGGCAGGGTGCAGGATGGGAAAAGATGCTGTGACTCCAAGCCGGGCTGGCAGAGGCGTTTGGGAGTACGAGCTCGCGGCACTACGCAGGCGCTGGCTCTGTGGCTCGCCATCGTCGCCTTTGTTTGCTGGTGAGCTTGCTTTGGGTTCTGTAGGTCCTGGGTTTGCCCGGCCCGAAGCTGGCCGAGGGAGCTGGAAGGGAGGTTTTCCTGCGGCTGCGGGGGGATGGGGGGTGAAGATGCCCCCAAGGGTCAGGAGCCGCCTGCTGTGTCCAGCAGAGGAGGGGACGAATGGAAGAGATGGATGGGGGAAGAAGAAACGGGTGGGTTTCCGGGTGGGGTGACCCAAGTGTGAGGGTGTGGATGGGGTTGTAGGGCTAGCGAGAAACCGGCTAATTCCCAAGTTTGTGAGAATTCACGGGTGGTTTTATGAGGCAATAACCTCTAATATTTTTAAACAAGAAAAATGTATTTTTGTGGAAAATAAAGGGAAAAGGATAAGGAATGGAGTGGATAGTTTTAAAAGTGATGTTTACATTAAAGCAAGGTCACTATGGAGTAGAAACTGAAATCATTTCATTTTTAAAAAAAGATTTTGGTTTTACTGTGTGTGTGTGAGAGAGAGACATGTGTGGGTGTCAGTGGAGACTAGAAGAGTGTGTCAGAGCCCCTGAAATTGGACTTACAGGGGCTTGTGAGCTGCCAGACGTGGGTGCTGGGAACTGAATTCAGGTCCCCTGGAAGAGCCAACACTCCAGCCCCAACATTACCTTTTTTAAACAAAGATTTCCAAAAACTTGCTATTGGTTGCTTAGGTGTCCAGTTGTCTTTGACTTACTACTTTCGGGAAACTTTGGTTGAGCTGTTTTGAGCAGCCCTGAATTTAAGGAAGAGCGCTTAGAGGGTGCTTTCTCTAGTGCACATGGCATAAAATTGTTCTAGGTTTGGCACAGAGAAGCCAAGAAGTCTATTTAACACTCTTGTTTGTCGAAGGGCAAGACAGTGTGACTTTCAGTTTAACTGGTTAGGTTTTGTCAGCTTGATACAAACTGGAGACACCAGGGAGAAGGAAACCTCAGTTCAGAAATGGAGCATTTTCTTGATTGCTGATTGATGTAGGAGGGTGCAGACCAGTGTGTGTGGTGTTATCCCTGGGCAGATGGGTCTGGACTTTCTGGGGTGGGGGTGGAGGGGGTGGCTGAGCAGTCCAGAGAAAGTAAGCCAGTAAGCAGCATTCCTCTATGGCCCCTGCCTCCAGATTCCTGCCTTGGCTTCCCTAGAGGATGGACTGTAAGCTGAAAACTGAAATAAACTGTTTCTTCCCCAAGTTGGTTTTGGTCTGTTTTATCACAGCAACAGAGAGCAAACTAGGACACTTAACAAGTAGCCTCTGTTTTGGTTTATGGGGGGGGGGGGGCGGGGTCTTTTGAAACAGGGCCTCCTTGTAGCCTTACCTGGCCTGGAACTCACTATGTAGGCCAGGCTGACCTTGAACTCACAGAGATCACCTGTTTCTGCCTCCTGAGTGCTGGGACTAAACGTGTGCACCACCATGCCTGGCTTAAAAATATCTTATTTTTATTTTATGTGTTATGAGTATTTTCCCTATATGCATGTAAGTGTACCACATGTGTGCAGTGCCCATAGAGGCCAGACGGCATTGAATCCACTGGAAGTAGAGTTATGGACAGTTGTTAGCTGTCATGTGAGTACTGGAAATCGAACTCAGGTCCTCTGGAAGAACAGTTAGTGCTCTTAACTGCTGAGCCATCTCTCCAGCCCCCAGTAGATTTCTTTATAACACAATAGATAAATGTTTGCTTAATCCAGGGATGTGCATATAATTACAGAACACTTAATTACATTTAATTTTTCCAAGAGGAACCCAATTTAGGTAAAATATTAGACCTTTAAAAGTTTTAAGAGCTCTGAGTTATGAGTACTACTGAATAATTTCCTATATATTTTGTATTGCTCAAGGTTGGTGATACAATTTTTAAAAGAAAAGTGTGTTTTTGTTTTACTTTTGGCCTTGCGGGGTGTTGAACTTGTGGCCTTTTAAGGTAAAGGTACTCTGCCACTGAGCTACATCCCTGCCCTTGGATGTGATTTCTTTTTTGAGGCAGGATCTCATGTAGCACAGGCTAGAACTCAGCTGAGGGTGACTTTTAACTTCTGATCCTCTATCTTCTGGGTGCCCATGCTCACTTCTCTTTCTTTCTGTCTCCCTCCCTCCCTCTCTCCTTTTCTTCATCCCTCTCTCTTCTTTCATTTTTTTCCCATTTTTTTGCTTATTTTTATTTTATGTATGAGTGTTTTGCCTGATACATGTAAGTTCACCCATGTGTGCAATGCACAGGAAGCCAGAAGAGGGTTGTTGGATCCTCTGGAACTGGAGTTAACAGATGGTTGTTAACTGCCATGTGGGTGCTGGGAACTGAGCTTGGATCCTCTACAGAGAGCAGACAATGCTCTTAACCATTGAGACATCTCTCCAGCCCCTTTTTCCATTTTCATGTGTGTATGCATATGGTGTACATGTGTGTATGCGCATGTTTTGTGGGCACAAGTGCGGGTTGGGGAGTGTGTGTGTGCATGTGGATTGTACACATGCATGTGGAGGCCCAAGATTGATGTCAGGAATCATCTTCCTTCGCCCTTCCACCTTCTTCATTGAGGCAAGGTCTCTCATATCCATAGCTCCTGGATATGTCTAGTTCTGCTAGCCAGCTTGCTCTAAGGATCCTGTCTCCACTGTCTAAGATTGGAGTTACAGGAGGACCATCACATCCACCCAGCATTTATGTGAATTTTGAGCATTCCAACTCTATTTCTCACACTTGCTCAGCAAGTGCTTTAACCACTGACCTCAAACTCTCCATCCTCCTGCCTCAGCTTCCCAAGTACTGGTATTAGAAGCATATGCCACCACATCTTACTTAAGAACTGTTGCTGATGGGGAAATGACAGCAATTTGACTTCTGTCAGCAGCAAGGCCACATGGGACTCCTGCTGAAAGAACATGTTCAGATTGATTGAGGAGATAGTTCCCCTTACAAGTGAAATTATGAAAATAAAAGTGTCTTCTATTACCGACATCTGAAATATGTTGAGTTTTTTTCAAGTGGTGTAATAATAGGTTCAGGTTGAAATACAAAGTACAGACACTTTCCCTTTGCCATGTGTGAACCCAAGGTTTATTTACTCATGTTGGTTGTTTTTCATAGGCCAGTTTCCTTGTGTATCTCCAAGAGCTGTACTTTACCCTTCAAACCTCAAGCGTTCTAAGGACTCAGCGGGAGTGTCGGATGCTGCTTTGATTTCTAGAATATAGCATCACAGTCCTGTATCACTTTTCTGATTATAAGTTTAAAGTCAGCAGTTCAAACAGAAACAATGGATGACTGGGAAGAATTGTAAAGAAAGTTTGCAGGTGAGTAACTGAGATTCTGGCAGACACAGGTGCAATAAAATCTCATCATAGTTATTCAGTGAGGGTTTATAACCTCCAAATATTTTTCAACGTTTTTGTGTTTTTTATTTATTTATTTTTTTGGAGACAGGGTCTTACTATGTAGACCAAGCTGGCCTCTAACTCAGAGGTCTGCCTGCCTCTGTCTCTTGAGTGCTGGAGACATGCACCACAACTCCCTGCAAGTTTGTTGTTTTTGTTTTGTTTTGTTCTTTAGAGATAGGGTGTCACTTGAGTTCTCTTAGGGTCTACCCCTTCCTCTGGCTCTTACAATCTTTCCTCCAATCTTCCGCTAAGGTCCCTGAGCCTCAGAGGGGGTGACAGACGTAGGTCAGTTTCTCTTGTATCATGGTAAGATAGTGACTTCTTGGGCCTCCCCATTATTCGTCTTTAAGCTGTGGCCATTGATCTAGCTCAGTGTTTCTTCTACTATAAAGACAAATGGAAGGAAGTAGACGCATTTAAACAAACATGAATGTAAATACAAATGCCTCGAGGATATCCCAGCTTCTGGGTGGCCGGCTCCTTTTTAGTTACATATTTTATAATCTATTATAAGATCCTTGTCGCTGCCATTAGCTCCCTTGCTTTTCCCAAACTCCCCCGGTTTGTCGTTTCTAGTGCTGCCATCCTGCTGGCTGTGCTCCTGACGCTATTAGACAAATCATATAACACATCTCTATCTGAATTTTTCATAGTCTATATCCTAGGTAGGGGAAATAGAATAACTTAGAAAGGCTAACACCTCGTGCCCCACAAAAGGTGAACATCTATCACTCCATTCCGCTCTGTGACTCAGTGGCCAGCTGTTCTGCACCCCACCCACAGTCTTGCCCCAGGTCAGTAAATGCCCCCTCTTGTGTCCACACGGCAAGACACTGGGGAGATTTTTTCTGTGCTGCCATTGCCAATATGGCATCAGTGCTCCTCCCTCTGCAGCTGACTCTCCACAGCCAATTCTCTGCAGTGGGCCCCGCCCCAGGTTGGCTCATACTCCCTTGGAGGAACAAGCACCCCTCAGGACACACAGGGTCTTGCTATTGTATTTCACATTGGCCTTGAACTGTAGTCCTCCTACCTCAGACTCCTGAGTGTTGGTATTACAGGAGTGTGTGACACCATGGCAGGATTTTTTTTTCTGAGACAGTATCTTTGGACCCCAGACTGACTTGGAACTCATAGTATAACCCAGGCTGGCCTCAGACTCAGGATCCTCGTTTTAATTTATTGAGTGATGGGATTATAGGCATGCACCACCGTGCCCATATTATATTAGTTAGCCCATTAGAATCTCAAATACAATCAGATGAAAAAAGTCACAGCACTGTCTTTGGTAATAGTAACGGATGGGTTCAAGTTAAAAGGCCTGAACAACTAACTATAGCTATAAATAGTAGGAGATTTATTTATTTATAGCCCCAGCTGTCTGTCATTTGCTAGGATCAGGCTGGCCTTGATCTCATGCAGATGCCTCTGCCTCAAGAGTGCTGGGATTAAAGAAGTCTGCCACCATCAAGGCAAATATTTTATGTATTTTTATTTTATGTACATGAGTGTTTTGCCTGCATGCATATAAGTGCACCATGTACATGCAGTGCCCACAGAGGTCAGAAGAGGGCATTGGCTTCCCTGGAACTAGAGGTACAGATGGTTGTTAGCCACTATGTGGTTGCTGGGAACTGAATCCAGGTCTTCTGCAGGAGCAGACAGTGCTTTTAAGTAGTGTGCAATCTTTCTAGCCCCATAAAATAATTTTTTAAAAAATATTTTATTTTAATTTTATGTGTATGCATGTATTGCCTGCATGTAAGTAAATGCACCCATGTCATGCAACACCTGCGGAGGACAGAAGAGGCTGTCAGATCCCCTGGAACTGGCATTATGAACAGTTGTTAGCTGCCATGTGGGTGCTGGGATTCGAACCCAGGTCTTCTGCAAGAACAGCCAGTGTTCTTAACCACTGAGCAATCTCTCCAGCACCCCCATAAAATTTTTGAAATGTAAGTATTTCTATATTTTCACATGGCAGCTAACAACCAACCTTAAACTGCAGTTGCAGGGGATCTGACGCCACCTTCTGGCCTCTGCAGGCATTGCATGACAAAGTGCACTTACATACATGCAGGCAAAACACTTTAATACACACAAAATAAAAATAATTTTTTAAATATTTTATTTATTATTTTTATTTTATGTGTATGAGTGTATTGCCTGCATGTATGTGAGTACACCCATGTCATGCACTGCCTCGGCAGTCAGAAGAGGCCATCAAATTCCAAGTTAAGGACGGTTTGTAGCCATCATGTGGGACCTGGGAATCAAACCTGGGCCCTCTGCAAGAGCAGTCAGTACTCTTAACCACTGACCCATCTCACCAGCCCAAAATAAAAATAATTTTTAAATTAATTTTGTACCCACCCCATCATCCTAGGCTCTACCCATATTAAGTGTTATGGTAGTTGCTTAGTCTTTGTTTTTTTCTTATTTTACTTATTGATAATGTGTGTGATTTATATTTAAAAACAAAGTTTCATATACCTGTGAATGTTACCGTATTTGAGCTTTCCTTTATAGCAGAAGATTAGACTTAGTTGGGTTACTTGTTTATTTCCTTTTTAATTATTTTTTGAGGCAGAGTCTCACTCTGTAGCCAGGCCGGCCTAGAATTAACTGGCTAGCCCAGGTTGGCCTCCAACTCATGATAATCTTCTTACTTCAGCATTCCAAGTACTGGCATTAAAGGCATGAGCTACCATATGAGTAGCTCATGAGTAGTCTCTTATTAGTATATTTCTGCAATTATATCAGTGATAATGGGAAAATGTACAGGTTGTTAGTGATGTTAATATTAATAATGGAAATTGGATACTTGATACATTCTAGATACCAAATGTCTTAACCTTGTTAATTATTTTTTCAATGATGCTTTTTTTCACTCTTTTAGAAGCAGCCTGTGGAGTTTATAAATGGATAAGGATACAACATGAAAGACTTGTGAGTTAAGTCTCATCTTTCTCTATAAATATAGACTGAGGAAAAACTCAGAAAAATCTAGGAATCAAGAAAGTTATTTCCTAGGCACAGACATTGGTTCTTCAAGCATTCTGTTCTGTGTATGGGACTCAGTTTAAGAGACTTTGAACTGTATTTACTCTTATTCATAATTTATTTGTAAATATGAGATAAGCTATGTTAAAAAGAAGCATTAATATGAGGACAGGGCTGTATTTCAGCCCCTTTTTAATAATTGCATCTCAGGGTGGTCATGTAAAATATTTTTCATCATAAATTCAGCTTCATCAGATACTTGAGAATTAATACTGAAGAGAAATTGTATGTATTTAGTGAATGTGGAAAAGCTTTCATCTTTACCACATCTCAGTTGACACTTGGAAAAAATCCCCAGGCATAACAGGAATGTTGGAAAGTCTCCAGCCTGAATCAGATATTCTGCATGATGAAATACATCCTGGAGAGAAACCTTTTGAATGTAATGAATGCAGAAAAACCTTTAGCCTGAAGCAAAACTTTGTAGAGCATAAGAAAATGCATAGTGGGGAGAAATCACATGAATGTACAGAATGTGGTAAAGCATTTTCTCGAGTCTCATCACTTACTCTACATTTGAGAAGTCATGCACGGAGAAAGTCATATAAATGTAATAAGTGTGGAAAAGCCTTCAGCCGGAAGGAAAACTTCCTTTCTCATCAGAAACAACACACTGAAGAGAAACCTTATGAATGTGAGAAAACTTCTATTCAGATGACAACCCTCATTAGACACCAGAGAAATGCAGGAAATAAACCATATGCATGTAAAGAATGTGGGAAAGCTTTTAATGGCAAATCATATCTCAAAGAACATGAGAAAATTCATACTGGAGAGAAACCATTTGAATGTAATCAGTGTGGAAGAGCCTTCAGCCAGAAGCAATACCTCATTAAACATCAGAACATCCATAGTGGAAAGAAACCCTTCAAATGTAATGAGTGTGGTAAGGCCTTTAGCCAGAAAGAAAACCTCATCATCCACCAGAGAATCCATACTGGAGAGAAACCTTATGAATGTAAAGGGTGTGGAAAAGCTTTCATTCAGAAGTCAAGCCTCATCAGACATCAGAGAAGTCATACTGGAGAGAAACCTTATACATGTAAGGAATGTGGGAAAGCCTTCAGTGGCAAATCAAATCTCACTGAACATGAGAAAATTCATATTGGAGAAAAACCCTATAAATGTAATGAATGTGGAACAATTTTTAGGCAGAAGCAATACCTCATTAAACATCACAATATTCATACAGGAGAAAAACCCTACGAATGTAATAAATGTGGAAAAGCCTTTTCTCGGATTACATCACTTATTGTACATGTGAGAATTCATACAGGTGATAAGCCCTATGAATGTAAAATATGTGGGAAGGCCTTCTGTCAAAGCTCATCTCTTACTGTGCATATGAGAAGCCACACAGGTGAGAAACCCTATGGTTGTAATGAATGTGGGAAAGCCTTTTCTCAGTTCTCAACTCTTGCTTTACATATGAGAATCCATACTGGTGAAAAACCTTATCAATGTAGTGAATGTGGGAAAGCTTTTAGCCAGAAGTCGCATCACATTAGACACCAGAGAATTCATACTCATTAAAGCTCTATGAATGCCTTAGATTTAGGAAAAACTTGAGCAGAATGTATGATAATATATCAAAATACTTGTCTTACAAAGTTACATAATGTGGGAAATCCTTCTCTAGCAACTCAAAACTTAAAATAACAAAGTTCCTAAGACATATATATCATAGTATAATAAAGCCTATACCCTCCTCTGACTCTCACAACAAACTTTCAAAAACCTCATTGAAATTAGAGTCTAGTTATTTCAGTTAGCATATTCTTGGAAAGCCTATCAGATGTATTAAAACAATATGAGAGATACAAAGATGTAAAATTAAGAAGCAGAATTGCTTATTTTATATGCTTTGCTATATACATAATTTGTAAAATCATCCCCCCCAAAAAATGGCATTTTGAGATGGTCTCCCTGTATAGCCCAGCCTGTCCTTGAACATGTGGCCCGAGCTGGCTTCAAATTCTGGGTGATCTATTTTCCTCAACCTCCCAAGTGCTGTAATTATAGACACGCACCAGCGTGCCAGCTCAAAATTATTTGTTGATACAATTGTAGAAAATTGGAATCAGGACAGACTACCAACTCTAGAAACATGCATGAGTTTATGAGGAACTGGTAATTAATTGAGGCGGTATCCCAGATCAGTGGGGAAATCATAGATGATTTCAAAAGTAATTTCAGGATATTAATTCTTCATGTGGAAAATAATAAACCTCTGACATCATCATATGAAAAATTGTTTCCTGTGAATTCCAAATGTTTTTGCAAAAAGCAAAACTTTGTATAAGAATTTTCAAAGAGAATGGTTTTTAACCATTGGGTATAGCCAGGTGTGGTGGTACAGGCCTTTAATCCCAGCGTTAGGGAGGAAGAGGCAGTGGATCTCTTTCAGTTGAGGCCAGCTGGGTTTACATAGTAAGTTCCAGGCAAGATGGCTCTACAGGGAGACCCTGTCACAAAAAAGACCCCCCCCCAAAAAAAAAACCCTTGGGTATAGAAAAGAATTTGTAGATTCTTATAGATTCCAAAGTACTCAACCATTACTCTTGAGTATATGTAATGTATGCCCAAGAAACTGACATGCTTAGATAGGGAGTCATATACCAGTCAGCTTGTTCATTGCAGCATTAATTATGGGGGAAAAAATGGACATGAATGTTTGTTGCTTATGAAGTAGATGAAATGTGTTAACCATACAATGGAGTATTCTCTAGCAGCCTAATGCAACAGATTGAATCTGTATATTAATGACAAAAGAAGAAAGATCATGCAGAGTGAAGAAAATTGAAGTGATGAATGAATTTTGATGATTCCTGTGTGGCTTTGAATAAAATCAATTTATCAACCATAGTACCAAGCATTGGTTATGGCAAAAATGCTTCTCTTTCAAAACTCTTAAAGAATAAATTGGGAGGATACGTATTTAGTTCCCCAAAGTGTTTTTTACTACTATAATAAGAAGGGAGGTAGAAAGGAAATATAACCAAACAGGGTAATTAAATGATGCTTCAGTTTTGTATCTAAATATCTATTTTTTCATTAAAAATATTCCAAGTAAATATGACAAATTGTTAGTTGATTCTGGGTTTGGAGAACATGTTTTTTGTTGTTTTGTTTCTTTTGAGACAGGATTTCACTGTAGTTCTGGCTGGCCTAGAACTTCCTATGTAAATCAGTAGACCAGTCCTGCCTCTGCCCCCAGAGTTCTGAGATTAAAGGCATGAGTAACCACACCTGACCCATATGGAGCCTCCTCTTGTCCGTGTGTGTGTGTGTGTGTGTGTGTGTGTGTGTGTGTGTGCGCGCGCGCGCGCGCGCATTTGTCTCTTCTCCTCCCTTTCTCCTTTTTAAAGACCAGGTCTCTCTGTAGCCCCAGCTGGCCTGGAACTCATTATGTAGACCAGGCTGGCCTTAACCTCACAGTGCATGCTCTGCCACCTGAGTCCTGGGATTAAGGGCGTGTACCACCACCCCTGACTGCATAAAGATAGATAGGATAAAGACTCTGTACATGAAGCGTATATTACAACAGTCCCTCTATGTGTACATCCCAAGGCCCCTAGTAGTTCTTTGAAGCCATGTGTAGAACTTATTCTAAATATTTGGCTTTCCTGTATACACACATACATGTGATAAAGTTTATAAGCACCATAAGAGACTAATAGTTTTCTACAGAGCTTAGTGACCTCAACATGTTTTGTTTTGTTTTTCTGTTCTCTTTTTGAGAACTTTCATCTTTTCCATTAAAGGAGGTACAAGCCAGCTGGGGCTACAGGGAGACTCTGATTCAAAAACACAAAAAAGCCAGGTGTGGTGGTGCATGCCTTTAGTCCCAGCACTCAGGAGGCAGAGGCAGGCGGATCTCTGTGAGTTTGAGGCCAGCCTGGTCTCCATAGTGAATCCTGGCCAGCTTGTGGCTACAGGGAAACCCTGTCTCAAAAAAGACAGAAAAAGAGAAATACAACTTCATTTTAACGTCACTACTCGTGGGCTTTGGGGCCATTATTAAGTAAAATAAGTGTTGCTGTGTAGTTTCTGTCCTCTGATTGGACTCAGACTTAACAGAGTTTGGAAACAGCCCCAACCCTACTTCTTTTTTTCTTTTATGCTGTGGACTTGGTCCTTTTGCACAGGGCCTGGACTTCTCAGTACTCTAGACCATGCCATTAGATGGGTAATTCTGTCCTTAGGTGCAAGTGGCTGGAGGTAGCATCATGGTTACCTTGACTGACTGGAGTAAGAAAGATCAGAAACTCACTGAACTTCACATTGACTGTCTTTTCTAGTTTGTCTGACTAATAAAGGTGGCATTTGACCTGTCTTAACTCACTTTTGTGTGTGTATGACAAGGTCTCACTTTGTAGCCTAGCTGTCCTGGAACTCTGTAGACCAGGCTGGCCTTGAATTCATGACAATCCTCCTGCCTCACCCCCACTGAGACTAAAGGTGTCAGCCATTATACTAGGCTTAACACTTCGTCGAATATCTAAGGTATATGTACCGTAACTGGTTAGGAAAAAAGCTAATATATTTTAACCTCCTCAGAAATGTTATATAACAACGTGATATAAAAATGACTACTTCATGCTGTAATTCATTTCTTGTTTAGTAACTTCCATCAATGTTTTACTTTGGGATGGGGGAAAAATCCAGAGTTGCTACAACCTTAAAGGAGAATGAACAAGAAATCTTACGCATTTTATAGAACAGGGAGACTCTAGAGGGTTAAAACTTCTGGGAAAGGTTGTTAATGGGAATTTTAGGGGAAGGTAGCAATTGGGTTTGCTGTAAGAACTGAGTGATAAATGGGCTTTTCCTGCTATATCCAAACTACCATTCCAGTTGTCGAACTCACATTTGTTTTGGGGGGACTGTGGGGACAGGGTCTCGTAATTCAGGCTGGCTTTGAACTTGCTATGTAGCTAAAAATATCCTTGAACCTTTTTTTAGTATTTTTATTTTATGTGTGTGAATGCATTACCTGCATGCGTGTAAATGCACCTGTGTCATGCAATGCCTATGGAGGTAAGAAGAGGGTGTCAGATTCCCCTGGAACCGGAGTTACAGACGGTTGTAAGCTGACATGTGGGTGCTAGGAATCGATCCTGGGTCTTCTGCAAGAGCAGCCAGTGCTCTTAACCACTGGACCATCTCCCCAACCCTGACTTTGGATTCTCCTGCCTCCACTTCCCATATTCTGAGATTGCAGACACGCATCATGTCCAGTTGATGTGTTGCTGGGGATCAAACCCAGGTCTTTGTACATCCCTGGCAGGCACTCTACCAATTGAGCCACGTCCCTAGCTCTCACACTCAACAATTCACATTCTTTCAGGCCCGATAGGTGGACCCAGATGGAAAAAGCAGTGGAGACACACTGCTCACCCGACCTGGTTTTACAAGTTGAATTGTCAGAACCTCTGAATAAAGCCTTTTGGCAGGGACTCCAATGAATTGCTTCATCATTAACTCCTGTTTCCGCTCACCTGTCCACATTCTTTGTTGTTAGTGTATAGGTATCTTGGTCTCAAGCCCTTTTATAATCGGCATTATGTTCAAGAGGACAGAGCTCTCATTGTTCACCTCTTCACACTTGATTTGGGGAATTAAATTACCAACAGGGTTTTTTAGGGGCCACATTCAAACCATAGCAAACTGCAACTGATGGTGGTGTGTTGCTTTTGTAGCTTGTGAGTCTGAGAGTTTATTTATTACAAAGTGTTTTGTGGGGTTTTTTGTTGTTGTTGTTGTTAGTTTGAGACAAAACATTCAGTCTATTCTTGAACTCTTTATGTAGCCCAGGCTAGCCTCAAACTCAAACTACTCCAGCCTCAGCCTCCATAGTGGGATTAAAGCCATGCACCACCACATTTAGCTAGAATACTCTTCAGTATCACCCTGATGCCAATGTGATTAAACCTCACTGAAAGTGCTGGACACCAAGGCTAGTGGGAGCTTCCTAGAGTGGCATAATTTTATTAATTACTAAGGTTGGCCATGTGGAAGTGGGGAGTAAATGGAAGAAAACCCTTGGAAAAAGATAAGAATATGACATTTGAAATATTCAGAATAGGATGATGAGAGGGCTCAGCAAGTAAAGCTGCCTGCTATGCAAGCCTGGTGACCGGAATTTGATCCCTGGGGCCCACGTAAAGGTAGAAGGAAAGGACCAACTTCACAAAGTTGTTGTCCTCTATTCTCCACACATTCACCATGGCATGCACACACACCAAACATACAAATAAGAAATACATTTGAAATATTCAGAACCTTATATTTTCTGTGGCATATCCAATCACGGGTGTGTTAAGCTGGGTTTAGTGAGCAGAAGGTTAAGATAGGCCTGATCGGGCTGAATGGATCAGCAGTTAAAAGAGTGTACAGTGCTCTTGTAGAGGACCTGAGTTCAATTCCCAGCACCCACATGGTGGCTGACAACTGTCGGTAACTCCAGTTCCAGGGACTCTGACACCCTCTTCTGGCCTCCCCGAGCATTGCATGTGTGGATACACTTACACATGAATGCATGGAGGCAAAAAAACTCATAAAAAACTTTTTAAATCAGTTAGGCTTCCATTTTTGAGTAACGTTCTCTTCTTTTTAACCTCTCTTTCCTTCTTTCAGATATTTGCCAGAACCTGTGCTTTCTTTCCCAGATACTCTAGGATTATCTCCCCTGTCCCCTGCCATGTGGCCAATTACACGTAGCTTTCTTCCTCTTCTCCGTCTTCCTCACTTGGGCAGCTGTGGAGATTGGGATTCACAGCTTGCCTGTCTGTCCTGAGGCTTTTCTTTTAAACACTAATGAAATTGTCCTCAAGCTTTAAAAATAAATTAGTCAATTAAAATAAAATTAGGGTTCAGTCATTGACTGTCTTTGCTTAAGTGCAGATATGAACGATATTTAGTTCAGCAGGCACATCATACTCTCAAGGCTTCAGTTAACATGACTGACATGACCAACAAAGTTATCCATTCCTCGCCTGTCTCCGAGTGTGTATGCTAAAATAATATTTGACATAAAACCAGCTGTCTTAACCATTTTCAGATGGGCAATTCAGTAGTAGATATTTACATTACTGTGCAACTAATCTAGAGGACTTTTTCCACCCTGCAAAATGGACTCATACCCATTAAACAACTCCTTGTTTCTCTTTCCTTTAGCCCCTGGCAACCACCATTCTTTTTGTTTGAATAAATTTATTATTTGTGGTTATGTTTTGTAAGTGGAATCACACATGATTTATCTTTTTGCATTATCTTTAGCATTTTATGAGATTCATATAGCTCCTGTCTCACAAACAGAATCTGATATATATATCATATATATATAATATATATGATATATGTGTGTGTGTGTGTATGTATGTATAAGTCAGGCTAACAGGCTCCTTAGTGCTGGGATTATGGATGCACATCATCACACATGGATTGATTCTATCATTTTTACTGGAATTTACCAGGCGTGGTGGCACACGCCTTTAATCCCAGCACTCAGGAGGCTGAGGCAGGCGGATCTCTGTGAGTTGGAGACTAGCTGGGGCTACAGGGAGACCCTGTCTCAAAAAGACGAAAAAAAAAAAAAAAAGCTTTATCCTCTTTAACACTCTTGGGGGAAGGGAATCAGCAGGGTGGCCCCAAGCTAGCTTAGAATGGAGATGAGATTAGAAAGCCCCTTGGGTGGGCCCTGTGGCATTCAGGAGGCAAGCCTGGTCTACATAGTGAGTGCCAGGCCAGCTGGGGCTACAGGGAGACCCTACTTCAAAAGACCAGAAAAGCCGGGTGTGGTGTTGCACACCTTTAATCTCAGCACTCAGGAGACAGAGGTACACGGATCTCTGTGAGTTCAAGGCCAGCCTGGTCTACATAGTGAGTTCCGGGACAGCTGGGGCTACAGGGAGACCCTGTCTCAAGGCACCCCCCCAAAAAAATCTTATGTTAAAAAATTGTGTATATATATATATATATATATGGGCTGGAGAGATGGCTCAGCAGTTAAGAGCACTGACTGCTCTTGTAGAGGACCAGGGTTTGACTCCCAGCACCTACATGGAGGCTATGAACCATACTTAACTCCAGGTCCAGGGGAATCCGAAGCCCTCTTCTGACCTCTGCTGCATTGCACCACAGTCACATACATGCAGACAATACACTCATACACGTACAAAAAATAAAATATTTTAAAAATTATGTATTTATTCCCAGGGACCACCCAGCTGTGCACTCTGCTCAGAAATGGTTAATCTTGAGTTTGTGACATCACAGATCACAGAAGAAGGGAGGGGAGAGACGGATGGGGGGTACACATGACACAGCTGAAAAACTGGAAATGAACAAGGCAATGTGTAACCAAGGCCACCTCCAAAACCTCTGGATCCCCCTGTGCAGAATGGGGAGATGCCCTTTAGAGCAGGGAGGCCAGTGCTGTAGCTGGGGGTGCACTTCTGTCCCCAGTCCCTGATGCTCTGGGGTTATGTGTCCTGTGAGACACCCCTGTGAGGGCCCAGTATTAGGAGTCTAGCCTCAAATCCAGCTAAATAACCAGGTTTGGGGGGTTCCCTCTAGCTAAGATCCAGCCCTTACTACTCACTCTGAGGTCAGCCCTTTTTACCATAGCCCCCTCCCCAAATGAGGGGTCAGGGAGGGACTGAAGGGTCTTTCCTGGGAGGAGGGTGTTCTGGGGTGAACCCTGATGACACGGTAGATAGATGTGGTGTTGGGCCCCATGCTCACTAGTAGAGACCTCCAAGATGTCAGCAGCACACAGCAGCAGTCTCTGGGTGTCCCTGTTTGTCACCACCTGAAGTTCTCCAGGCCACTGTTCATCATGTAGCACTCAGGGAGTTCACCAGGTACTGACAAAGGGCCTGTCCTCCCTCGGGCCAGCCTGGTCTCCACCTTCACCACCTGCTTGCGGGAGGAGCAGACTTTGGAGAAGCAGGTAGGTGAGTGTCGTGAGTTCCAGGCTCTCTACTGGCTGCTCCCTCCAGGACTCCACCACTGCTGTCACTCCCGACACTTGGGTCCCAGTTCAGGTCCACCCAAAACTTGACCAGGAAGAAGGCTGCCCACCTTTCTACAGCTCCCGTCCGCCACCCTTTTTCTCAGGGAGTTTGTGGTACATCTGCTGTACATCCAACGCTCTCCAGAAGTGGCTGCCCCGGGGCTGGGACACTGCTGACTGATGCTTCTGGAAACAGTCAACTGCATCAGGTGGTTCCACAAAGATGGAGATCTCCACCAACCACAGAAGTGCGGTACCCAGGGCCCAAGCCTGCCAGGCTGGGGGTTGGGGAGTGGGGCGCAAGTGGGTGGGGGTGAGAGGGCTGGAGACGGTTGGTACCCTGGGAAGTCAGTGGATGGAGTCAGTGACAGGGGAATGATGTCTGTGAGGATGGCTTCACGTCTGGAACATTCCATGGTGACTCGGTGCCACCATGTAATATGTAATTACATATTACATACTGGAAATGCTCAGTAGCCTGAGGTCCCGAGATTCCCAGCTTGTCCTGGAGGGAAAGTGCAGAGAAGAGGTGGGCAGACGACATGGTAGCCATGGTCTGGAAGGCCTTGTTCTTGGAGACCTGGTCCTTCAGCTTGGACTGAATTTTTCTCCCTTTCCTTGGAGCCAAAACCTGGACGTGACTAGAGATCTGTTTGCACGTCCTTGTCTTTCTGGTTCGCAACTTGATGCATCAATGAGTTCATTCCGACCGTACATTTTGCCCTCTTCAGACAGGATGATCTTTGGGCGGGTAGATGGATAGAGCCTCCTGGAAGCTCTGCTTCGATGTTGGGGCTCCACATGTCCTCTGCATCAGGGCCCCCCATCACCTCCAATGCCCTCACTGCCACCAGTGCCCTCCTCACTGCCTTCCTCACTGCCAAGGCCAGCTGGTGCCATTTTACGGGGGTGGGGTGGGGGTGGGGGCTCAGTCCGAGGTTCCCCCATCTGGGCCTCACCTCATCCCATGGACCTTCCCACCCCAACTTACACAACCCAAGCAAGATCCCAACCAACAGTAATAATTTTATTTCCTTCCAATTTGGATCAGGCTTATCTTTATTTTATTTATATATTTATTAATATTTTATTTATTATTTTTACTTTATGTGTATGAGTATATTGCCTGCATGTATGTGAGTGCACCATGTCATGTAGTGCTCTGGAGGTCAGAAGAGGGCATCTGATTCCCCTGGAACTGGAGTTAAGAATGGTTCATAGCTGCCATGTGGATGCTGGGACTTGAACCCAGGTCTTCTGCAGTGCTCTTAACCACTGAGTAATCTCTCCATCCCCCAGGCTTATCTTTTTAAGTAAAAGATTTTTTTTGGTCTTTTTGAGACAGGGTCTAGCCTGAGCTGTCCTGGAACTCACTATGTAGACCAGGCTGGCCTTGAACTCACAGAGATCCGCCTGCCTCTGCCCCCAAGTGCTGGGATTAAAGGCATGCGCCACCATGCCTGGCTAAAAGATTTGTTTTTAATGGTGTGTCTCTGGAGTAATGGGGCACATGCCTTTAATCCCAGCACTCAGGAGGTAGAGATAGGCAGATCTCTGTGAGTTTGAGGCCAGCCTGGTATACACAGCAGGTTCAAAGCTAACCAGGGCTACATAGTGAGACCCTATCTCAAGAAAAAGTGTGTGTGTGTGTGTGTGTGTGCGTGCGCGCGCGTGTGTCTGCGCACATGAGTGCAGGTGTCCAAGAAGGCCAGAAGGCATTGAATCCCTGGTTTTTTTGTTTGTTTGGTTTGGTTTGGTTTGGTCTTTTTTGAGACAGGGTCTTCCTGCAGTCTCAGCTGGCCTGGAACTCACTATGTAGACAAGGCTGGCCTTGAACTCACAGAGATCTACTTACCTCTGCCTCCAGAGTGCTGGGATTAAAGGTATGTGCCACCACACCTGGCTCTTTATTTTTACTTTATGTATGTGACTGTCATGCCCGCATGCATGTAAGTGCACGTGTTTCATGCAGTGCCCACAGAGACCAGAAGAGGGCATCAGATCCCTTGGAACTGGAAATACAGATGATTGTTAGCTGTCATATGGGTGCTGGGATTCAAACCCAGGTGCTCTTCAAGAGAAACCAGTGCTATTAACTGCTGAGCCATCTCTCCAGCTCAGTATCCTTGTTTTATTGAGATACAGTTTTTCTGTAGTCCCAGCTGGCCTAGAATTCACTACGTAGACCAAACTGGCCTCCATCTCACAGAGATCTGCCTGCCTCTGCCTCTGGACTGCTGGGATTAAAGGCCTGCAACACAACACCTGCCTTCATATATATTTTTAAAACTGATATTTTATTACATTTATTTGCGTGTATGTGTGCTTGTAACCATGCCATGGTACATACAACACTGTAGTGTACATGTGGAGGTCAGAGAACAACTTTCTAGAATCAATTTTCTCCTTCCACCTTGTGGGTCCTGGGGAGCAAAGTTAAGTCATCAGGCTTAGTGGAGTGTACCTTTCCCTGCTGCATGATCTCCTGCCCCACCCCACCCACTGCTTAATATAGTCATGTAAAAAATATATAATGATGCTGGCCACGGTGGCACACACCTTTAGTTCCAGCACTCAGGAAGCAGAGACAAGCGGATCTCTGTGAGTTCGAGTCCCAGACCAGTTGGGGTACAGAGAGACCCTGTCTCAAGCAGAAGCATATATATATATGCTTCATGGATTTATAGGTCATCTTGAACAGGAACAGGCTAATCTCTGTATCATTCCAATTTTAGTATATGTGCTGCTGAAGTGAGCACCTGCTTAATATACGTTGAATGCTTTTGCTTTTCATCATAGGCCATTGAGAGAGCTCTCATTCACCCTTATTCTACAATTGTGGTGCAGTTGTAGAACGTTGCACTACATTTGATAATTTATGACTCTCTTCAATATTTTTGTGTGTGAACAGCTCTTCATGAGAAAAACTTGCATAAGCATGAATGTAAGTAGATACGTAGGTTAAAATCCCAGAGTTTGGATTACTCAGCCAATGTGAGGCTTGAAAGATGGTGCCAAATTGCCTCCAAAGAGAGTGTACCAATCTGCTGTTATCTTCAGCAATGTAAGTTTTCAAAATTTAGGGTTTATTTATTTCTTTACCATTCTAAGTATCTATGGAACTTTAGTATTAAAGCACAAGTTTTACTTTATTTCTCTCTCTCTCTCTCTCTACATGATGTTTGGGGGGGAGTGTGCACACATTCCAGGCACATGTGTGGAAGTTAAAGGACAACTTTGTGGAGTGGGTTCTCTCCTTCCACCTTTACTTGGGTTCTAGGGATCAAACTCAGGTCATCAGGCTTGTGTGGCAAGAACATTACTGGCTGAACAACTTTGCCAGACCAGCATTTTAAAAAATTATTTTTGCCAGGCATGGTGGCACATGCCTTTAGTTCCAGCACTTGGGAGGCAGAGGCAGGCAGATCTTTGTGAATTTGAGGCCAGCCTGGTCTACATAGTGAGTTCCAGGATAGCTGTCTCAAAAAGACAAAAAAAAAATTATTTTTATGGGGCTAGAGAGATGGCTTAGCAGTTAAGAGCACTGACTGCTCTTGCAGAGGATCCGGGTTTGATTCCCAGCACCCACATAGCAGCTACCAACCACCTTTAACTCCAGTTCCAGGGGAATCTGAAGCCCTCTTCTGACCTCCGTGGCTCTGCACAACATGGGTGCACTCACATACATGCAGGCAATATACTCATACACATAAAATAAAAAGAATAAATTTTAAAAAAATTTTATGTGTATGAGTGTTTTGCCTGCATGTATGTAAGTACACCTGTGTCATGCAATGCCAGTGGAGGACAGAAGAGGGCATTGGCTCCCCTGGAACTGGAGTTTTTGGTCACTTGTTAGCTGTCATGTGGGTGCTGGGAACCAAACTCGGCTCCTCTGCAAAAGCAGCCAATGCTCTTAACCACTGTCTCTCTAGCCCAGATCAGCATTTTTTTTATTAACATAACTAAGTATATTTTCATACATTTGAAAGTAATACATGACCCTGTTCTATAAAAGGAACTAATGTTCCTTTTCCCTGTTTTGAGGCAGGGTCTCCCTGTAGCCCCAACTGTCCTGGAACTCACTATATAGGACAGGCTGGCCTTGAACTCACAGAGATCTGCCTACCTCTGCCTCCCAAGTGCTGGGATTAAAGGTGTGGGTTACCACGCCCGGCTATTGCATTGTATTTTTTTTTTAATTTATTTACTTGGTCTTTTTGAGACAGGGACTCCCTGTAACCCTAGCTGTCCTGGAACTCACTATGTAGGACAGGCTGGCCTTGAACTCCCAGAGATCAGCTTGCTTCTGCCTCCCCAGTGCTGAGACTAAAGTCATGTGCCACCATGCCCGGCTATAATTGCATTTTATGTTATAAATTACTCCCTCCAATATGGACAAAACTCATTAAAAACAGGTATATTTTCAAAAAGAGACAAACAGCCCAATTAAGAAATGGAAAAAGAAAAAAAATGGAAAAGGATGCATGAAGCATAGTGGCACATGGGCTGTAAACCTGGCAGTCAGGGGGCTGAGGCAGAAGAGAAAGCTCAAGGCTGAGGAGATGGCTTAGTGGTAAGACTGTGTCCTGCACTGGCAGAGTGCAGGAGTTCGGCTCTCAACACGCACATAGGGCAGCTCACAACGCCTGTAACTCCAGCTCCATAGGATCCAACACTCTTCTGAACTCCTCAGGCATCTCGCACTCACATGTGCACATATCCACATATACACACATATAAACAGAATTAAAATGAAATAAATCTTCAAAAAAATTAAGTTCAAGGCAGCCTGCTCTTCATAGGGAGGCACTATTTCAAAAATAAAAGGGCTGAGAGATGGTTCAGCATTTAAGAGGGCTAGATGCTTTTGCAGAGGACCTGGGTTCAGTTTCCAGCACCCACATGGCAGCTAACAAACCAATCGTAAACTTCAGTTCCAAAGGATCTGATGCCCTTTTCTGGCCTCCATCAGCATCGCATGTATGGGCACAGTTACATAAACATATACACATAAAATAAAAACAAATTTTTTTCTTAAAAAAGGAAAAATACGAATTAAAATAAAACAACATGCCTAAGATTTCCAATCAAGAATGTGATGTTTTTCTTCTCTCATACAGGGTTTATGGATTTATTGATACAGATATTCTTAAGCATTATATCCTATTCCATGGTTTTATTTATTTATTTGCATGAATTTTACACCCAACTACCTTATCTTTTATTTTAAATTTTATTAAATGGATCTGGGGATGTAGCTCAAGTGGTAGCACTTGCTTAGAATGTTGGAAACCTGGGTTGACTCCTCAACATCACACAAAGCACGGTGACCTAAGCTTGTTACCTCAGCACACAAAGACAGGAGGATCAGTAGTTCAGGGTCATCTTTGGTTACATAGTGATAATTACATTTAATAAAAAATAGTAAAAGACTCAGAGAATGCTTCTTTTAATTAGAAGCTACTTTCATACCTAATAATATATACATGGCCTGGAGGATAACCAGAGAATGAATTTGATCTTTAAGAGACATTAAAGTTAAAACCATGAATCTCTCTCAGCTCATTATTTTCTCTTTGAAAATAGAGATGTGTTTAACGCCTCTACTAATTGCAAAAGTTGACTGCAAACTTTCTTAGTTCACTGCTTCCCAAATCTGCTTCATCAGTCTGACACACCTGCCCCTCCCCACATCTTCTGGCATGGGGAAAGAACCCAGAAGATTGAATGATTATCTCTAGAAGCTGTGCTCTAATCAAGAGCTAGTTAACCTCCCAGCACACATGCAAAATTCTTTTGAAGTTGACTTTTACTTTTTAAAATTTATTTATTTTGGTCTTTTTGAAACAGGGTCTCCCTGTCGCCCCAGCTGTCCTGAAACTCACTATATAGACCAGGCTGGCCTTGAACTCACAGAGATCCGCCTGCCTCTTGAGTGCTGGAATTAAAGGCATGTGCTACCATGCCAGGCCTATTTTTATTTTTTATATTTATGTGCATGAGTGTTTTACCTGCATGTATGTAAGTGCATCTGTGTCATACAATGCCGGAGGAGGTCACAAGAGGGTTTCAGATCCACTGGAACTGGAGATACTGACATTGTTAGCTGCCATGTGGGTCAGAACCAGGGTCCTCTGAAAGAGCAGCCAGTGCTCTTCAGTCCTGAGCCATCTCTCCAACCACAAAACAATTTTCTTTTAAGGCGGGGTCTCCCTGTAGCCCCAGCTGGCCTGAACTGTCTTTGTACACCAGGCTGGCCTAGATCTCAGAGATTTGCCTGCCTCAGTTGGGAATAAAGAGCGTTCACTACCACGCCCTGCCCCAATCCCTCCCTCCCTCTCTCCCCCCTTCCTGTCTCTCCCTTCTCTCTCTCTCTCTCTCTCTCTCTCTCTCTCTCTCTCTCTCTCTCCCTCCTCTCTCTCTCTCTCTCTCTCTCTCTCTCTCTCTCTCTCTCTCTCTCTCTCTCTCTCTCTCTCCCTCTCCCCCTCTTTCTTTGAGACAGGGTCTTCCTGTAGCCCCAGCTGGTCTGGAACTCGCTATGTAGACCAGGCTGGCCTCACAGATCTCACAGAGCTCCTCCTTCCTCTGCCTACCAAGTGCTCAGATTAAAGGCGTGTGCCATCACGTCTGGCTCTTATTTTATATCCCATAATACATATTTCTGGTTTCACATTATTTATTATTTATTTGTCTGTGGTCTCCCAATACCTAAATAACAGCCCAGGTCCCGGCATCTCCATTACGTGGTTCCTACAAACTTCACCTATCACTCCCTGATCTCCTTCAGCCCACACCATTCACAGAAATTAGTAGCTCAGATTAACATGGGTCCTCCGTGCAATTTCGAGAAGTCCTCTTTCTGCTTCTCTGGAACCATCAAACCGGTTTTAGAAATCACCCCCTTTCGATCACTTTCTAAATTCCTGGTCTCCACCCATAAGACTACCCGACCCGCTTTGAGTCTTCAACACATCCCTTTCAAGTCTTCTGCACTGAGTAACACAGAGCCAAACTCATTCCCAAAACAAAGCCACAACGGCGGCCCCGGAAGTCTGTTTCTGCATCCTTCCTGGGCTCACTAGCATTCCCTGAAGACTATGGATCGTGGCCAAGCAAAGGCTGAGCTCCCAGAGTTGACTTTTGAATAGTCCACCAAGCAATTTCCATGGCTCTGAACTACAAGTCCCAGAAGGCTTAGTGGTGAGAGCAACTGTCCTATGCAAATCTCTACACCAGCTTTCAGAGATGGTCCAGCGTCTACGGGCAGTGCTGAGGGACCAAAATGTAAGTCAATTTCAAACGCGTTGGCGCGGTCTTTTTCGGAAACCACTTCCGGAGGCTGACTCAGGGCTTCTTGAACCCTTCGGGGTGCGTTTCAAAGAGCGGCACGATCCTTTCCACGGCGCTTCAGCTGAGCGCGGATAGAAACTATCTGGTTCATCCGTAGTTCGTCTCTGACTACGTTTCCTAGAAGCCTCCTCGGCTTCTCGCGGGAATTCAGTCACGCGCTGGCGGGACCTCAGGGCTTCCCTGGCAACTGCATCGGCTCGGTGAAGGGCTGTACCGCTTCGGAAGCGTGGAAGGCCTGAGGTGAGGAATCCAGGGGAGGGCGGGGCTAGAGCTGCAGCCCGGGCTTTGTGCAGCCGGGTTGAAGTGGAAATTGTGCGCTTAGTTTGTGAGGAGTGATCGTGCAGTTATACTGTGTTTCTGATGAGCGTGTGCGTCTAATGTAACACCGTGTGCACCACCCCGTGGTGTGTGTGTGTCTGTGTGTGTGTGAGAGAGAGAGAGCGAGCGAGCGAGCGAGCGAGCTGGGGATCACGTGCCGTATTGTGTGTGCCTGTGGAGTGTTTGTGACTGGTTGGATGTTTGTCTCTGGAGTGGTGTGCGATTGCCTGACGTTGTGACCATGTGCAGCAGAGTACAGTTGGGATACCTGTGCATACTGTGGTTACATCTATGTGAATGTTGCTAGTTTGTGATCATGACTGACCGGGTGGGGGTGTGCCGTGCCTGTACTGATGCAGTTGTGACTGTGGAGGGTTCCTTTGGGAAACGGACGGCTTTGCTCATGGACCCCTTGGAGTCCTTGAGTGTGTGGTCCTGTTGGCTTTGGTATAAGTTTCTTAGAGCCGAATGCCCCTATTGTGGGTCTGTGATTGAGGTATGTAAAGTTTTGTATGAATACCTCTGTATGCATGATACTTTTCCTCATTTTAGAACTTCATGTGAATGCTGGCATGCTTTCCTTTGCCCTTTAATTATGATTATTTGTACAACCTGTTTCTGCGACTCATTCATATCAAGTACAATATCGGCCTGTTCAGTTTCTTTGCTATTTGGGATCCCAGGATTTGAAGTATACTGCACCTATTCATCTTTCCTGTTAATGCTAGACATTGGAGTGTTTCAGATTCTTAGTATTATGAACATACTATCATGAACTTTAAAATTTTTAACATAGGATACACCTGCTTCAGTTTGTCCACCGCTTTACTAAATGGTGCAAAATGTACCAGAGTGTGTGACAGATAAATGCTTACAGAGCAAGTGTGCCATATCCGTATCAAAAAATGGTTTAAAATGTGTGGCTGTGGGTTTGTTTGTCTTTATCATTTATTTACTTATATTTTATTTGTTTGGTCTTTTTTTGAGCCAGGACCTCCCTGTAGCCCCACCTGGCCTGGAGCTTACTATATAGACCAAGCCAACCTTCAACTCACAGAGATCTGCTTTCCTCTGCATTCTGAGTGATGATATTAAAGGTGAGCACCTTTACGCCCAGCAAAACATTAAAAAGTCTTTTAGGAGACTGGAGAGATGGCTCAATGGTTAAGACCACTGGCTGCTCTTGCAGAGGACCTGGGCTAATTCCCAACACCCATATAGCAGCTAACAAGCATCCATAAACTCCACCATAACTCCAGTTCCAAGGGATCTGATGCCCTCTTCTGACCGCTGAGGGCCTTACATGACATGGTTGCACTTATCATACATACAGGCAATACACTCATACATAAAGAAATAAAAATAATAAATAAAATATTTCAAAAGTCTTTTGCCAGATGACGTGGTATATATACACCTTTAATCTTAGGCAGAGGCAGATGGTTCAAGCCAGCTTGGTTTACCTAGTGAGGTGGAGGCCAGCCAGGGCTACATACTGAGGCCCTTTCTCAAAAAAGAAGAGTCTTTTATGTCTTGTATGCAGATGCAGGAGGTGAGTTCACTCTAGCCTTAGACTTTGTCTCAGAAAACCAAGGGCTGAGACTGTGTTAAGTTTTGGATGGGGCAGGGTGGTTCAAGGAGTTCACCGAGGACTAGGGAGTTTATTGGAAGTTATTAATGTTAGGGACAGAGGGAGGGGCAATAGTGGGGGTAGGGGGATGATGCTCCAAGGATAGTTCAGGCCCCAGCACTAGAGACAGTGTGGTGGGGTCTCTGAAGGGAATCAGAGCCCACATAGCAAAAGTAGACATCTGTTCTTATAGCTGTCTGAGATGAGGTGATTCACAGGAGTCTGCAGCCAGAGTCTCTGATTCCCAGGCAGGAGGCAGCAAAGGGGTTGGGGAGCAGGATCTGTGTGACACCAGTACCCCCTTTGATCTCTTTGTTAGCTAGAGACTCTGTTGCTGTAGGGTGTCTCTATCTGAGAGGAGGCCAGAACAGAGGCTACATTGTAACATTGCATTCTGATAGGATGTAGCTATGTGGTAGAATGCTTGCTTACTGTGTACAAGGCTCTGGTTTCAATCTTGAACCCTGCAAAAAAAAAAAAAAAAGTGTGGTTTGAATAAATTGTTGTGGGTTGCAGCATATAGAATAGCATGCACGATGGCTATATCTGTGTAAAAATCTCTGAGGTAAGTATAAAACCTTTTTCATAGCAAGTGAGGTAGCGCACACCTTTAATTTCAGCACTTGGGAGGGTAAGGCAGGAGGATAATGAAGTTGAGGCCATACTAGACTACATAATAAGACTGTGTCTCCCCAAAGACCAAATCATATGGCTGTTATGGATATTCTACCATATTTTTGATGAATATATGAATTCTCTTGGGTAAATACTTAGAAGTGGGATTTCTAGATTATATATTGGAGGTCTGTTCAATAGATACTGCCCAAATTCTCAGGTGATTTTTCCCGTGTATGCTTCTCTGCAGCAGTATGGGAGAGTCCTTTTGCCCACATCCTTTGAGTTATGTGATATTGTGAGCTCAACTATCTCTTGGTGGTATGGTGGAATTTCATAGTAGTTCTTATTTTCATTTCTTAATATATTATGCTGTTCAGTATATTTTGCTATGTTTTACGGTCATTTGTTTTGTTTATTTGTTTTTGAGACAGGCTCTTCCTGTAGCGCCTGCAGTTTGCTGTGTAGACGAGGATGGCCTCAGTCTCACAGAGAACCACCTGTTTCTGCCTCTGGGGTTCTGGGATTAAAGGTGTGCACCAGCATGCCCAGCTTATTTCTTTATTTAAAAATAGTTTTGTTGGGGCTGGAGAGATGGCCCCAACTGACTGCACTGACTGCTCTTGCAGAGGACCAGAGTTCAATTCCCAGCACCCACATGGCGGCTATGAACTGTTCTTAACTCCAGTTCAAGGGGAATCCGAAGCCCTCTTTTGACCTCCGAGGCACTGCACAACATGGGTGCACTCACATACTTGCAGGCAATATACTCATACACATAAAAATAATAAAATATTTTTAAAAAGTTTTATTATAGTAATTCCCTTTGTGTACGTGTGTAAGCGTACATGCACACATATGCCACAGTGTACATGTGGGGGTTAGAGGACAACTTGCAGGAGTTGGCTTTTTTCCTCCACCATGTGTGGCCCAGGAATTGACAGTTGTTATGCTTGGCAGCAGGAAGCACCTTTTATCTCTTGAGCCATCTTGCCGGCCCTCTCTCTTGTTTTATTTCTAAATTTTTAAAAAACTATATTTTTATTTTATGTATATCAGTGTTATGCATACATGGATATAAATACACATGTGTCATGCAGTGCCCTTGGAGGACAGAAGAAGATGTCAGATCTCCTAGAACTGGAGTTACAGATGGTTGTTAGCCACCATGTGGATGCTGGAATTTGAACCCGGATCTTCTGAAAGAGTAGCCTGTGCTCTTAACTGCTGAGCCATCTCTTCAGCCCCTATTTCTGAAAAAAATTTTAAGACATTTCTATTTATGTTTATCGTGTGTGTGTCTGTGTGTGTACTGTGTGTGTATAGGACCCATGAAGGCTAGAAGAGGGCATTGAATCTCCTGGAACTGGAGGTACAAGTGTTTGTGAGCTACCTGATGTGGATGCTAAGACCTGAACACTGGTCCTGTGTAATCATGTAAATTTGTAGTCCCAACAGTAGGGAAGGTGATGCAGGAGAGTTGTGAGTTCTAAGTCAGATGGGGCTACAAGGCAAGGAAGGCCCAGCCTCAAGAAAGAAAAAAATCTTTTTTTACTATTTCCATTGTGAGCCCTGAATTCCCATATACTTTTTAATTTGAAAAGATTTCTCTGTCATATACCTATAATTTGTACTTTGAGTGTGCCCCCACCTGTCCCTTCTTTGCCTTTCCCCATGGATTGTTTTTTTTTTAAGAAAATTATTTTTTCTTCCCTTTGAAGGAGGTGCACTTTTTCTTTTTTCTTTTTTTGCCTTTTTGAGACAGGGTCTCCCTGTACCTGCAGCTGACCTGGAACTCGCTATGTAGACCAGGCTGGCCTTAAACTCACAGTGATCCTCCTGCCTCTGGCTGTCCCCCACCCCCATAGATTCTTAACCCAGGTGCTGACAGTGCAGTTGTGAAAACCAAGACACTTACACTAATGCAGTCTGTTTGTTTTTTTTTCCAGGTTAAGTAATAAAAATTTATTAAGAATTCCTGAAATGGTGGAATACCACACTATATCCCAGACTGTATCCCACACTAATACAGGTTTTTGTGTATGTTTATGCTTTTAATTTTTTTTTTTTTTTTTGGTCTTTTTTGAGACAGTGTCTTCCAGTAGCCCCAGCTGGCCTGGAACTCACTATGTAGACCAGGCTGGCCTTGAACTCACAAAGATCCACCTGCCTTTGCCTCCCAAGTGCTGGGATTAAAGGCGTGCACCACACACCGGCTGTTTTTAATTTTTTAACTTATATTTTATGTATGAGTGCTTTGCCTGCATGTATGTAAGTGCACCTATGTCATGCAGTGCCCTTGGAGGCCAGAAGAGGGCATCACATCCCCTGGAACTGGAGTTACAGATGGGTGTTAACCACTTTGTGGGTGCTGGGAACTGAACCCATGTCCTCTGCAAGAGCAGCCAGTGTTCTCTTAACTGCTGATCCATCTCTCCAGCCCATCTTTTGATTCTTTACAGGGTATCACTTTGTAGCTTGGATTTCCCTGAAACTTACTATGTAGAACAGGCTGCCTTGTACCTGCAGTAATCCTCCTGTGTCTTGCAATGCCCACAGAGATCAGAAGAGGCTGTCGGATCCCCTGGAACTGGAGTTATGGACAGTTGTTAGTTGCCATGTGGGTGTTGGGAATCGAACCCAGGTCCTCTGCAAGAGCAACCAGTGCTCTTAACCATAGGGCAATCTCTCCAACCCCCATCTTTTGCTTCTTAAACCACCAGTACATATACCTTCAGTTCCAATCCAAAACTACAAGTTTCTGTCAAAACTGTGAAGTATCTGAGGGTTTACCCTTCTTATGAGCTAATAAGTTAGTTTGGTGCATTTTTGTATTTGTTTGTTTGTTTTTAGACAGGGTAGCCCCAGCTTGCTGAAACTCTGTAGACCAGCTGGCCTTGATCTCACCTAGACTTTTGAACCACTTTGTCTTTAGCAATTAATCATTTAGAATTTGCCAGGTGTTGACAGCTGGAGAGATGACTCAGTAATTAAGAGCACTGGCTGCTCTCACAGAGGACCCAGGTTTGGTTCCCAGAACCCAAATGACAGATAACAATCTTTAACTCCAGTTCCAAGGGATCTGATGCACTCTTTTGACCTCTACAGGCATTGCAAGACATGGGTGCACCTACATACATGCAGGCACTACACTCATATACATAAAATAAAAATAAGATATGCCAGGCATGGTGGCGCATGCCTGTAGTCCCAGCACTTGGGAGGCAGAGGCAGGTGG